TTGTTTGTATTGTTTTTTCGGAATTACCGATTATGTGCTACAAAAAGTGATTTTAACATATTTCCCGTTCACAGTGAAATATTAAGCAAATTTTATTTCTAGTGAACTATAATAATCAATTTGAAAATCAGGCTTCTACGATTTGGCAAGTGCTATAGTTTCCCAGTCGTTATTCCTACACGATTTTTTCCTAGTAAGTAATCTCCTAAAAAGATTCTTTGGCAATTCAATTCATTAACGACACTGGCTATATCTTTAGACGCTCCATGTTTGTGGCGTTTACGTGAAAATGTGTTCTTCTGCATTATTCATTAACCCATTTTAAAATTCTGCGCCGCTCTTGAACAAGTACAGGAATGCATCGTATATAGGCACTCGCTGCGTATCGCAGTTGGGTTTTTGTGCGATTTTATGCATATTTTATCAAAGAAAAAAGACACGGTGTTAATATTCCTTTTATATGATCAGGGGCGTCCAGAAACACAACACGTATGAAATTTTTCCGACATCAATGATTCAGTTCTCTCGGGAGGACAAGTGCGGCCCTAAATAATATATTTGAAGGATCCCCCAAAAAAACCCTATATACCCTTGAGCTCGGCATCATTAATTTCAGAAAGGAAGCTGGAACACGGACATCAAGTATTTATGACGGAATTTATAGGACAATTTTTCGGAAAAAGGAAATGCTCCTAAATTTACTCTTTACGCCAACGATATGTTAGGATCTTGAATGGGGCAAGTAAAAATGTGAAAAAAACCTCCGTTTCTTGGATATTTCATTTAACATTTGATGATTATTGGATTACTTCCAAAATAGGTTCACGGGTATGTATATCAAAATCTTGAATTTTTTGCAGTACATAGGTACCTACCTAAATTTTATATATTTTACTTGATCATAGTATTCCCAAAAATAAGCATCAGGTATCAAATGGTATGAAAATGGAAAAAATCAGTAATAAATTAGACGTCAGTTTGTCAACAAAAAGCTAAATGCCGATTTGATTTTAGTTGTGATAGTGGTAGTTTCGCCGTGATTGTTGGAATAAAGGTAAATTATTATTGTGAGAGTATTCTCACTTATCAGCGACCCGTTTACGTGAGAACTGGTGTCAGAAGTGGAATAATTGAGTGAAGGAATCTTCGTCCATAGTTAATGCGAGAGTACAGTCAGCAATTCTGCAAAAACAAGGAGAAGTAGCAAACGACTACACGACACCTAGATCAAGACCGATTCCAGAACATCTTGCAACCAAAGCAAGACCAACAACTTACAGAAGAACAAGAACAGGACCGGCTCCGGAGAATTCTACAGGAAAAAGAAGAATGAAGACAGAAAGATGTTAACAAAATCGCTGGATTGTTCCAGAATATTTGACAAGAAGTCGAAGGCGAAATACATTGAACTAAACAAACACTCTGGAACGGGTGCACTGCTTTATCCTAGTGAGGCAAATTTTGATGTATGCAACTCAGCAATACGTAGGGATTATTGTCTCGCTCGCACTCATTGCGGTTAATATAAAAGAAAGAAGAGCTTCTTCATCTTCCTGACCTCAATGCCGGGTTGGAAAAAACCCGGGTTTTTTGAAAAAGTCCAACCCGTCGGGTTTTTTTGGGTTTTTATGGGTTTTTATGGGTTTTTTGGGTTTTTATGGGTTTTTTTGTTTTTTTTTTTGTTTTTTTCGGGCTTCCTGGAATGTTTCGTTTTTTTCTTCAAATTTGATTTATAGTTTCTGCTCTAGCAAAACTATTACAAAAATTATGATTTTTGTTGCAAAAAAAAAACTATATCCTTACAAAATAAAGCAAGCCACTTGATATAAATAATTACAATTGGCATCAGTGCACTGCACAATGCCTCTGGCTGGCCAGCTCAGAGACTCCGTGTCATGTAGAATTCTACATATCGACAGGATTCTATAGACTCGGCGCATTCGATATGTCGAATCCAACATGGCACGGGAGTCTTTGCCCAGGCCTCCACGCCAAACGCCAACAGTGAACAGCCAGGGAACTGAAAATTTGCTATTTTGAAAAAAAAACAAAAAACCCAATAATGGTGGGTTTTATCAATTGAAAAAACCCGAAAAAACCCACTGGGTTTTATCACCTGGGGAAATTCTAAGCCAACCCTGCCTCAATGATCCAAACACTTCAGACAGCTGTTCTCAATAGCCGCCATAGTGCAGAGAGAGATGCAAATCCCTCTTGTTTGTTGTCCTTCCTGGCACAAACCCTAGCGTAGGAAAAATTATGCAGCCATCGTTCCAGTGTGTTTGTTTAGTTCATTGGCGTAATAGGATCGATCCGACAAGAGGCCAATCAAGATGAAGCTGTACTTAGAAGCCAGTGTGTCAAGAATCAGTTAGCGCCGAAATGAATGCCAATAAGTTAATACTCGGATAATTAGTGGATAGTAAGAAAGTGCGTTGTGATTTAGTTTTGTGACCGGTTAAGCTTGATTGTAGTTAAATAAATTGGTACTTTCCTCGTGATTGCACTGGGTATTGAATAAATTAATTTTGGAAGCCTAATCTTACTTCTCTGATGCGAACCCGCTTACGTATAAGTGTATCGTATTAAATACCTATGAAAATAGTAAGAAAATAAAAAGGATTTTCATTTTCGATAATGTGACGTGGCCACCGTTTATTTTGTTCAATACTGTGCTCCTCGTTTTTTCTATATCTAAATTGTGTGAAAATAAGTTACCTAAAGAATTTAGAAAAAGACCTAAGGAGCTTTCTATAACGGCCAATGAATGTCCTTCCAAATGACCACGAAACCTTCGTCGCTACGTTATCCATCAACTCCCTAACTCGTATCTTTCTTTACGTTTTCTTCCATCCTACTAACATCCAAGAACAAAACACCGGTCCACAAATATTTACTTGAAAAGTCAAGGTCCTTATTATTTACCGATGTTGAATAAACGTTATAATGCTTTCCGGAGGATCATTAGCAATTCTAGATTTTATCAGTCTGGCGCAGTGTTCATTAACAAAATTTTAATTGATAGTAAAATCGGCCGGTTGCGGTCGAAGTTAATGAAAAAAAAATAAGCCGACATAAAACAATATAGACTTTAGCGCCAGTGGTTTTCATTGTTACACAACGATAAAAAGATCGAATATTGAATTTTATATTTAGAACAATAGGGTACTTGCATAAAAAACCAGATGTCAAATTTTTGACATGACGCTTCCTAGATAAATAACTACCTAATTAATGATTGTCATTGTCATTAATTGTCATTTCAAACCATGAATTCATTTTAATAAATCTTGACATTTTTTCAGAGAGCTTCAAAATTACGGATAATTTTTCACGATTCAAAAACCTATTGAGATTTTTTTTTGTAATTTTTTTTTTTTTTTTTTTTTTCTTTTTTTTTATATATATATAAAGCAAAATGAGCTCTTACCAATCAATGAAATAAAAGATGGCGTTCCTATTTGAAAAAAGATCAATGACGTCATATCTTGGACAGGAATTATTTTTTCTCCTATATCTCTGCGTAACTTTTCCCTACACGTCTTCTTATACCTATTTCATCAAATTCCATCGAGCCGTTTTCTCAGAAAAATGCCAACACACACACAGACGGAAATGTGCCACCTTGCCAAAAGGCTTAAAATGATCCAAAACGTCAAGATTTAATGAAATTTTGACATGGTCAAAATCGGGCTATCACCATAGCTTCCTATCTAGGAAGCTAATAAAATTGATAATTGTTTATTGCAAACTGTAGGAAATCGAAAAAAAAATCGATGCGTGTTTTTTTATTTTGTCCAAATACGATTATTCCGAAAGTTATACAAATATTGAGTTTTGTATATATAGATATAGTTCGCCTTATGAGTCTAGCACTACGACGTCTGAAGGGCAAGGGGGTCATCACGTCATTCATTTCGAGCTTTATGCTGCCTGTCATAGGCGTGCGCGCAGCGTTTTCAAATATTACTTTTTCCTTATAAATGTAGGTGTGTAACATAGATAAATATTAAGGTATTTTCTATTGGAAGTCAAATAGGCAATATTGCAATTTTTTTTATCCGCATTCTTTCCATAGTGCTAGACTCGTAAGGCGAACTTTATACTGTGCATGTATCTCCGTCAATTTCTGACTAACAAGAAAAAGAAAAAACACGTGTTTATTTTTCATTGACTAACGAAATCAACAAAAAAAAACTGATGTAAGGGACCCATTCAGTCAAATCTTTTCAAAATACTTAGATAATAATTTATTCTGCATTCCATACAAAATACATACCTGTGTGGATTTGTATAGTCTCATTTTTGGTTGCTGAACAAAAGTCTTAGCGAGCATGCTTCAGCGTTACAATATTCTTCATCTTTTAATAGTTATTAGTCTTTCAACAAATATGTTCTTCAATTGATTGAGGCGATTCTTGGTGAAAATTGAAATTAAAATACATGGTTGGATGAAGCATATTATCACTAACTCTACATTCAGTGTAGCTTCGCCAGAAAAATTTTACTAAAATGCGATTTGTAGAGTAAAGAACTACTAAAATTGAAAATTTTCAATGTGTGAAAATACCCTTTATTAATTATGTGTTAAACATTCAATTAATAACGCTGACCGCCTCTTCTGATGGCCAAATTAAAGTTTTCTATAGTCTGTTTTTTAATCCCAGGGTACACATAAATATGTCAGAATGCATTCATTGGCGTGCCCACATAACAAGACAAATTAACGAAATATTGATAAGACTGCAAATAGATTATAATTGTTAAAATCTTTGACCTGCGCCTATTGGTAATATAATTTACAAAAATACGCCTCATGGAACCCGAAAACGAAAACCCATTGTTTGGCGAGGGGATTTTTCGAGTGGATGTCTGAGGGTTAGTTCAAGCCTTTCGGGTGGGTTTTCTTAGTATGTTTTTTTTCTGGCAGTGTTTATTTTTTTCCACGTAAGTACATTAAACTGGTGAACTATTTAATAAAAAAAATTCTTTTTTTTCAGTACCAAAAAAAGAAGCGCATAGTGGCAAGAGTTCAATGCTACAGCATTAAAAACCAATGCCCCGTACCAACATGCGACGAGCCGGTAGTCCTTCCAGGAAGATGTTGCAAAACATGTCCAGGCGACATAAGTAAGTACCACCATTACCTCATAAAAAAAAAACTAAGTGTAGAAGCGGTCAATTCGTTGGTAATAAATGCCCATAATATCTATGCATATCTTGAGATTCTCTGTTTGTTGTTACGTAACGCGCGGTGAACGCTCTCAATGGATACGAACGTGCAAAATAAAACCACAATTATAAAACTGTTAGTTGGAATGTCGTGTATTGGTTATTCCCCGAGTTAATGGGACACCCCGGAATATGGAGAGATGCTATACGGCAGCTAACATAATCTCACGTTAATCAGTAATCACCTACTAATTTTAGTGTTGTCCATATCATTCATTTAATCTTTGCAATTATTCTATACAAATCACAAAAACGTTGTACTTTTCATTTCCACTCTACTATTGGAACATCTTCAACATCTGAATATTTCCAATAATATTCTAACACGGATGGAGGGAACATTACGCTTATGAAATACACGTTGTTGTGTCAACAATATCCTTTGTAGACATCGGAAATGGGGCTTTGGGCATGTTTTTCGGATTCTACTTCGCTAACATTTAACGTGTAGCGTCAGATTGAATAAGAACTCCCTATTATGACGCAAGAAAAAAAGGAATTTCTTATTGGAATTAGCTATAAGAATGACATATCAGAAATAGTTCTCAGGTTTAACGAGCCTCCCAGGCTAATAAATCATGCAATTTTTGCTTGTGTGTTTTGTAAAAGCGATTTCTGTTTCGCGTGAAAGGAATTCTTCGAGTAAAAGTTTATCTCAGACTGTAGAGTGATTATTACGTTGACAAAATATTGGATATCTATTGAAGCAAGGTTCCCCATAATAATGTGGACCTTAACTTACTTTGATGTCGATGACGAAAGATTTCAATTCACGATTGTCTTAGATACGTAAAATATAATGTTTTGAAATTAATTTTGTCAGAAAATGCGGAGTTAGGTAATTAAGGTTCACTTCGCATCTATTCAAATTAGGTACAAAACCTATTGGACTGGTCAAAATTCTCATGATTTGTATTTCCCGAAAGTAACAGTGTACCTACTTTCAAAAAAACTTACTAGAACATAAAAAATAAAATATTGGTGGCGGAAATAACCCCCGCCCTGTTTAATACATAAATGTCACATCATAGGCATTAATTTGCTAACGAGTATTATAATACTCTTGAGAGGATCATTATCTGGGGGTTCTAAACAAGCTCATTCTGGACCCGCAATTTCTCCCACAGAAATTGTAGGCTTTCCTGTTTTGATCTATTATGTTCTGAATTTCTTCATTGTTTTATGAAATCAATGATGATGCTGTATCCTTGCCAAAACCTTGTTGATTCTGGGCAAGCTTTTCTTGACCAGTGCTGTTCAATCTTGTCAGAATATCTCGCAGACAATTTCCCATTCAGTAGGAACTGGAATTTTGTTGTGGTGTCTTCATCTTTCACTCCCTCAATATTAAAACTGCATTGTGGGTCTTTCCTTTGTTTCCATTTTTTCGTGGTGCTTGTAGAAACATTTGGTGGTTAGTCCAGCAGTCATTAGCATTGATTGCGATGCCCTGCTGGCTACTTTTGGCGTGCACATTAACATCATTATAGGCGATCACTCGATACCGAGTATGATTATCTTCCATTCTTTTCTCATTGTGCGTTATCTGGTGGCTATATAAACCAATTCTTCCACAGTCTTGGCACACCCAGCCTCTGGCAGCACTGTCTCTCCCTCTGTTCTACCGCTCCTTCCTGCGGTCCTATTTTTTTTTGTTTTTGTTGTTCAAAAGTTTGTGTTCCGTCGGTTCGCTGGTGCTCAATGATGAGGGCTTTCATGCTAGTTGTTTTCCTCCTCTAAAATACTAATGTTCGTTTGTCGGTCCCCATTTAAGTAGAATCCTTCTTAGGCATCGCTGGTGGTATTTTTCTAGGCTTTTTATGTATCTTGTGTAGGTGTAGGTGGTCCATGTTTCGCAGCCATCTGTAAGTGTTGGTATTACAACTGCATTGTAGACGCGAAGTTTCGTCTCAGCGCTGATGTCATGATTGTTGAAGACTCTCTCTAGAAGTCGCCCGAACGCCGCGCCACACTTGGATGTTGAATTTCAGCGTCAATGGTTGCATTCGCTGATAGATGGCTCCCAAGGTATGGGCAGTGTTCTACATTCTGCAAAAAATGGTCATTTATAGTAATGTTTGGGGCTTGGGAATAAGTTCCCGGTGCGGGTTAGTGCAGAATCTGCGTCATGTTAAAGGCCGATTCTCCTGCATGCCTGTGAATGCATTGATAATTCCCTGAAGATCTTCCTCCGAATTGGCCATCACGACGTTATCATCCGCATATTGAACTTCAATTATCGATGTCGTCGATACTTTCGTGACACTGTTTCTCTGGGAAGTTGTCTTCAGCAGTTCGGATTAGACAGTCTACTCCCAACTACTGCAGAGAACATTGACGTAAATATCTTAAAGCAGTATGATATTAAAAATACATACGTTTTCGATTCTATAGGCATCCTCATAAATTTGATTTTTGATCTTCTGTTATTGAAAAACAAAAATATTGACAAATGTAAATACCTAATAAAAAAATTGGTCGGTGGTAATTTATGCATTTACTCTTGATCACATAATAGTTTCAGAGTTTTTCCAAAAAGTTAAAAATTATTTCTTGCATAAAATATTTAAATAAAACTGGGTTATATTTCTATTTGTTTAAATCTGCTTATTCAAAAATCTATTTATACCAGTAACTATTTCTGTTACAGTTTCGTTTTTGTTTAACTACGATAAGCCTGTTACAGAGGATTAAGAGGTACTTAACTTGTTTTACGACTGGCGCTGAAATGAATAATTTTTTATTATCAAATCAGGGGTTTATTAAACTCAAATCTAACAATAGATAAGTCATACATCATGCATGATTTTGCCGGATGCTGTGCTAATTTGAAAAGCTACATATGCGATCTTTTTGTTTCGAATCTATTAAACCAAGACTTTTACAATCATATCTAATGTACCTACACAATGTAGTTCTCAGTACTAGTTGTGCATTGTTGTTTTCTACCGGTCGCCCTTATGTACCCAAAAAAAGAATGATGGCTCTATAATTTCTCTAGATACTGTCTCTAGCCCAATTGCGAGTCCTGACTAGGTCGTTCAATAAAAAAATTACAATAATTTTCATTACTGTCTAATGGTCGTTTTTGAATGGGTACATAAGTTTTTGCCTCAGTTCTATTTGTTAGGTTGCTCATAAGAAGAAATACTTTTTTCAATTAAAACAATGCACTTCATGTACAGGATCTTTCCCCATACATTGACACCCCACCTGCAGCCTTTAAATTTACTGGTACGGTAGAAGAAAGGTGTGAATACAAAAGTTGTGTTTTGGCTAAATTTTCAGGATCCATGGTCAGAAACAAAAATTGAATGTAAAAAATGTGAAATTTTCCATACTCTCAACTTTTTTCGAATGGGATGCCCGATATTTGATCCTATATTCTTGAAGAGCACAATTTTACTATTACAAAAATATATAGTCTGTCTCTGTTTGGTTGAGCAGTCTCTTATATTTGGCTCTGAAAATTCTAAAAATACTATCCTACTGACGCAGATTTTATGAACCATTCTATCAGTAAAGGTGAAAGCTGCAGGTAAAATTTGAGACACTGGAAAGTATTTGTAAATTTTTTTCTGACATTAAATTTTTGTTTCGGATGATGGATTCTAAAAATTTAGCTAACATTGCGCAACTTTACTATTTGCACCTATTGTCTACCTGTAACGGTGAAGGCTGCAGGTGGGGGTGTCAATATATGGGGGAAGACACTGTACACTTTCGTTTGTAGTTTTGAGAATTTTCCTATTTTATTATTGAAAACCGAAACTTCGACAATTATTTTATAGCAATGCTTCGTACCATTTCGATTTTCATTTTTTAATTTAGCTTGCTTGTTTGTCTCTTGAATCTTTTATAGCATCAATTCTAAGAGCGCTCCTAAAAGCAAATGATAATATTTGTCTTCACTATTAATCAAAAATAATATCCCCCGCAAATACTATACATACACAGACCTACGGCTTGTTACTACAAATTGCATATTATGCACATAGTGGTTATTAAATCAGACTTTTTTAATTGTTACACCAGACTGATTTAATTGCTGCTTTCCTTGCATACATAACTTATTTTACGTTCACAATGCCAACGCGCATAAATAAATAAATTCACCGCTATTTCTTTGCGTTTCTGGTCTGGTCGAGCCCCCCCGCGTGGCCGCTGCTGGACAACATATTCTTTCATTGTCAAACGCTATCAGGAATTTGTTTCTTGAGTATTTTAACCTCGATTTATTACTTATTTTTTGCATTCACTTTTTGCTCATTTAACCGCTTCTATTGCATTAATTGCATTCTTATACCTACTTTATGCAATAGTTCTTTTACCTACCTAATCGTGAAAGTTATGTGCATTTTTTTCGGGGTTGCCCAAAAGGGCCACTTTAATTATGTCTCCCCGACCATTACTACCCAAAAAGGCCACGATTAAAATTTGGGTAAAAAATACACAGCTTGAGAGGGCCACCTTAAAACGCATATGGAGGTAGGTACAGTGGGAATCATTGCAATTGGCACATACTATATACTCTTTTCACATCCCTCGTATTAGGTCAAAATTCCAATCAATAAATCTATTTAATGCAGCGGTGTACAAATATTTTTTTTCTTTAACAGTTTATTAAAACTATTATATTCACCACTGATTTATCAATTTGACACAATTTTGACATTGCCTGTGTGCCAAAGAAGTAAAATTTTGACACATTACGGGGGATGTTTATATAGCGTGTGCCAATTGCAATGACTGTACCTGTTTAATTCATTTGAATTATTTCGAAGCAGTTGAAAAAAAGCTATAGTTTACAGAAATCGGTCACTAAATCAAGCTGTCGAAGAACACTATGAACATGTTCTATAGATTTGGGTAAAGCTGTTTTCTCCTAAATAATCAAT